AGGTAGAATGGACTTTGCTCTGGGCATGAAAAGTCTGTCGTTATTCGCGAATTGTCGTTATATCCGCAGTCGTTATTAGTGAAGTAATAGTTGACTGCAGTGTCCGCTCTAGGATTATAGGACAGCCGGGTACCCGTGTACCTGGCGCAACCATTTCAGCCGGGTCGGAGCCGGGTACACAATGTACATGTGCCTGGCGCTGTCTCACCAGCCGAGTCACATGCTATAGGCCATTCATACGACGGGCAAACTAATCATGACTTACTTGGTTGGTTGGTTTATTTTAATTCGGAAAATAAACGGAAACTATGCCCAATGTCAATGATATAAAGGCGAATGGACAAGCCTCATTTAGAAAAGAGAGGACAGGAATTAGAAAATTACGAAAGAAGCATAAGGCAACAGGCGGGAACATCTCGAACAGGATCCTCCGAGAGATCGCACCTTGTATAACGTCCTCTGTTACCAACCTGTTTAACGCTAGCCTCACCTTAGGTGAGTTTCCTAGTGCCTGGAAGCTGGGAACAGTAATCCCCATATTTAAAAATAAAGGTAACCCGTTTGATCCCTCCAACTACCGCCCTATAACCCTACTCCCAGCTATTGCGAAAGCACTAGACAAGATTGTCGCCACCAGATTCGGTCACTATCTCGAGGTCAACAACATCATTGTCCCGGAACAGTTCGGCTTTGTCCGTGATCGCTCCACAGTTGACCAGCTGATACAGCTCACTACTAAGATCGCATCGACCATGGATAAACGCATCCCTTAACGATGCTGCATTTCTCGATTTTGCGAAGGCCTTCGATAAAGTGCCGCATGACGTGCTTCTCCAGCAACTCGGGACTATCTGCGAATTCTGCGATGCTCCGGCTACGAGTTTGGATTAAGAACTACCTCGATACGCGTACATTCAGCGTCCGCGTCCAACACCACCTGTCCTCCCCACGTCCCGTCAAGTCTGGAGTACCCCAGGGTTCCCACCTCGGGCCATTGCTTTTCCTGGTACATATCAACAGCCTACCCAGAGCCTCGAAACGCAACCAGCACGCTGATGTTTACCTGTTCGCGGATGACACCGCCGTCGGCCAAGCACGAACCAAAGGTACCAGCCCAATGGAGACGGCCCTGCAGGACACATTTGCCTGGGCCGACCGAGTAGGCGGAACCTTCAACCCATCGAAAACCGTTGTTATCTCATTCGCTGAGGAAGGAGCTGCAGAGGCCATCCGCGGTATCCAGCCGTCAACCAGTCACCGTCACCTGGGAGTGTTGTTGAGTGAAACACTTAGCTTCCAGGAGCATATTGAACAGACAATAAGCAAGTTTAGACAGCGCTGCGTTCTTCTGTGCCATATGGCTGACCGTTTAACAGGAGACATCGTCAGGAAGCTGTACCTTACGTATGTCCGCCCCACAGCAGAATACGCCGCCCCAGTATGGGAGTCCTCCCTCTCTGCTGCACAGCGGCTCACCCTTGAACGGCTGCAAGCCAGAGTAGCTCGCACAGTCATGCGGCTTGAGAGATGCCCTTGCCCATCAGATTAGCCCAAGTCATCATTGTTTAAACAGCTGGGGTGGCCAAGTCTATCCTGGCGCAGGAGGATCGCCTGCCTTATGGAATTCTTCCATTTGGTCACCACCCAACCAGAACTTTTTGAAGCAGCGGGATACTGCCCCACGCGTAGTCGCCGCCGCCAACTCGCATTCACTCTGCCACGGGTTGGGAAACACGCCGGGAGGTCATTTCTCTTCCGCACCGCTACTGTCTGGAATGCCTTGCCCGCAGACCTGAGAGCCACAGCCTCGCAGTCCCTGTTTCACAGTCACATTTGCACGCACTTCTCTGACACCAAACACAATGCCACTCCGCACTGACATGCCTCTGTCCTCCTTCTTTGTGCGTTGCGCTTATTCTTATTAATTTTTGTGTTTCTGTTTCGGTACATTTCGTATTTCAAGGCATACCCCGAGGCTATAGGTATCATTGATTAAAGGACCATTCTGGAACCGTGATTCAGCATAATTGTATTTCTCTTGCTAGGCTGTTCATTACGAATTATTAGCCCTCCACTGTCTGCTATCTCAACCCTACAGCCTCCCATTATAATGGAACTCCCTTCAATTTAGACTACGTCTTTGGGAAATCCTCAAATATATATAATAATAAAGAAGAAGTAGCTGACACATACAAGCCATGTAGTCAGTCCTTTCAAAGTTCGAAAGTGTAAAGTACCAACCGGGTCACAGGTGACCCGGTACTATATTTTCAACCGGGTCCAAGCGCCGCCCAACCGGGTGGATTACCCGGCTCACCCGGCGCTGGAGCAGACACTGGACTGTATACTGTCGATGCAACAAACATAAATAAAAAAATGAAAAAACGAACAAAGTACTCGTACCAGGCCAAGGAGTCGTCAAAATACATGTACATGTACGTATTTGACGACTCCCTGGCTCGTATCGCGTACTCGTAGGCACACTTCCTTCTCAAGAATTGTGGGAAGAAGCTAGCTGACATGAAGGCGGTTTCCGAATCTTTTTTTTTTTTTTTTTTTTTTTCAAAAACAACACAATTTTATTGAAACAAAGAAAAATGATGGCACCTATGTACAGGGGATGGCCCACGCCTGGTATAAAGTAAACGTAAAAGAGAAAAAGTAGTACAGTGAAATCGATAACAATAGCTCAGTTCCCACACAATACCGCTCCTGAGCCGGATCAGACCACAATCCTAGCCTCGGCAACCGCCAGTGCGGCAGAAGCAGAGACAAGGCGGTGGCAGTGGATCAGTCGGCGGGCACCCCGAAGACAGGCAACACTTGCACGCAGGAGGGCGAAGCTCAGCCGGGCACGAATCCAGGCCATGACAGAGGAGTAGGCTTCACGAGTCTTCTCGGACAACATGGAGGCAATGCGCTTGTAAAGAGAAATAGCTGAATTGCCCATGCCACCATGTGCCGAGAAAACCACAGGGATGAAGCCTGCCTGCTCAACGTGCTGAACCCTTTCTCCGTAGGCCCGGCGCTTCTCACGTTCGTGTCGCTTGTAGCAGGATGCCGCAGATGATGAGCGATTTGATGGAGCGTGCGGGTTGAAGACCCGGACGTCCAGGTAGCTCCGTTCAAACCGGCCGCCATAGATACCGCTCGCGACAACATCCAGCCGACCCAGGTCATCCCGCACAGCTGTGCGATAGCGCAAGTTCTCCCCGGTCAAGGGCTGGAGGGTGGGCTCCACGTTGACGTCATGCGCCACACGACCGAGCAGCTGCGCCGTGAGATCCCTCACCTCATTGTGCCGCATGATGATGAAGCCGCCCGTAGCGCAGGAGAGAGCATGTGCAACAGTGAACGTTGCACCACACGAGCAGGTTGATGGCAGTCGGTCCGGGTGCCACCCATAGCGAAGCGCCAGCCCATCACGAAACTGGGCCTTGGACAGGGTAAAGCCATGACGTGCTAGTGGGCGGCATGTAAGCCAGCTTGAGGCTCCTTTCTCGCTGCCAAGCTCCATGGCACGCTTGACTGGGGGAGATGCATCATTTGCGAGCTCCATGGCACGGTGGGCCACCGACCTTCGCTGCTCACACCGTACCTCACCTTTGCGGTCCCTGACCTCAGCCAATAGGGAGGTTCTGCTCTACGTTTTGGGAACGCGACGCAAAGAATCACGCGAACTTTCTTCGCGTTCCCGTAACGTAAAGAAATGCTGTTCTGCTCTACGTTTCACCTAGAGAAGTCACGTGGAATGTGTACTGGGAATTCCCCCTTCCATATTTGGCAGTTTTCTGCATGCAGTTGATCGATACCCAGCAAATCCGTACGCATTTTCTCTGCGTGTGCCACAACGTAGAGAACCCCATCTCCGCGTAGAAATCTGGAGCCAAAACACGCGAAGCCGTAGACTCCAACCCAGACACCTGCTCTCTACGTGATTTCTCTACGTTTCACGTATAGCAGAACCTCCCTAATGACTCTCCCAGGATACCAGCCTGAGTGTTCATTTGATGGACTAGCGCAGTAGTGATGTGCCGAGAAGCCGAGTACTGACTGGCGGTTTCCGAATCCGGACATCAAAAAAACACATACGGTACGTCCATGCGCCTGAGCTCATGACATGAGCTACCGTGACCACATGGCCGGCCATGTTGAGGTACCGTAGAAAAACGACAATCGCACATGGGTTCGTACTCGTCGTACTCATCTGAATGGTGCATGCGCATGCTGGTCCAAAAAAAAGCAAATGTATGTGTATCACCCTCGTACCCATGAGATATTCTTTTATATAAATGTGTACTACATATAAATGCGTATTGCAATGATCAGCCTGCAAACACTACACAACTGTCTTGTTTGGCAAATATAAATCCGTTGGATCCAGTCAAGGCACTGGCGGATAATGCTCGAAAAGGTGGCAGATGCTGCTCGAAAAGCAGTGAAATTGGCAGAACCATACAAACCTTATGGCGGGCAATTCCTCGAATTCTGCTCCATTTCTTTATCCACATACCAAACATGCATGAAACTTACCAGAAAAAGTACCGAATTCTGCCAATTTTTCTGCCGGCATTATCCGCATATGCCTAATCCAATCAATCCTGCTCTCGAGCTGGCGGGGACGGGTTGTCGAAACCGAGGGAACAAGCTCTACGAGTACTTGCCATTGCTAGATTAGCACTTTCCTCATTTTTTGTGAACCGCAATTTTTCGCTAGCTAGCTCTGATGATCGGAACGAGAAAATCAATTCTGGAAAAAAATGTTATTCCAACAAAAAAGAAGCTTGTTTTATCGAAAAAAATTATTCCAACAAATTGCATGTTTCGTGGTGACCGGGTACGAGTCCCGCTAATACTGGTGATGTCTGCGGCCTTCATTTTATCGATGGCGTCACTATTTCCTCGCAGATTTTGTATTTTATAGAAAAGAAAGAAAGATTTTTTATATTACACACACATTTTTGACTGCATTCAGCGATGCTCAAATACACGAACAAGCCTTTTTGATAACATTTCCAAGAGAAAAATAAAAACATGTGTATCAGGCGAGTGCTGCAGAAGGTTTTAAAAGAATTTAGACCAGAGATGTAAAATTTCAATTACGATGGACCTTGTACAAGGGCTGGAGGGTCAGCTTGTTTCAATCTGTAATTCCCACAGGAAATCGTGTGGCAATATCGGCACAAGCTTCAGAAATACACAGCTTTGTTAGCAGAAAAGTGAAAAAATAAAAAATAAAGGTAATGCCAAAACACTGAATTTCTTTATTAAATTAGTGCTCTACTACGCGAAATGTGCTATTATTATTATTATTATTAATGCCAAAACAAACGGCATAATATGGGTTAGCTCGACATCAAAATGAATCAAGCTGAAAGCAGTGCACTAAATAATTTAAAATAATTGAATCTGACTTTAGAATATTAACATTATGTAATTGTCAGCAGCTAATTGCAATGCCAACATACTAAGAAGATGCTGAAGGGTACAAAGAAAGGCGGACCCGCTCGCACAGACACACACACATGCACAGGCACACACACATGCACAGACGCACACAAATGTACAGACACACAAACACACATGCAGACACACAAACACACACACAAACACACACGCACACACACACATACCTGCAGACACAAACACACACGCACGCACACCTACACCGAGAAATAGTCCTGGCAGCTGCACTACATTAATAAATGAACGCATAGCAAAGCAGGTTCCCTCTGCATACACTATCGTTCGTTAGTGAATTTAGCAAAGCCGCCATCTCTGATGGTGGGTTTGTGTCGCCGTGCCAACAAAGCCGCTGATACCATGACAAAGACCAATGCAATCGTGACACCAACGCCAATGCCCACGCTGGAGTTGCTGGACGCTTTCGGCACACCATTGGGTTCGTTCTTGCTACCTCCAGTACCGGACACGCCGTTGGTGCCAGTTTCCGTAGCGTCCGTCACAGGAGCGCGGGTTGTAGCACTCGGCGAATCGCTATGGGAAGCATTCGCGTGAGCAGTGGCACCGATAGGACGCGTTGGACGCTGACCGCTGGAATACGATGGCAGAGGCTGTGTCTTGCCTTCGCCTACTGACGGCATCGTCTGCATCTTGTCTTTGCTGACCAATGGCATTGTCTGTGACGGGGGTGCTGCTGCTGTAGGTGGTAGGTGTACCGGAGTGCACGTGACGTGCTGGCCCGTGATGGAGCTACCGTTCTTATAACCGTCCGTGCAAAACGACGTGTGTCGCAACTGAAACGTGGCCGATGGGGTGACGCGACACCATAAACAGCCGAGAGCGCGCTGGGCTGCAGAGCATTCGGCAAACGTCGCGGCCGAGTTGCAAGTGGCGTTGGCGACAGGCGTGAACACGATGCTCTTCACCTTGGCTTGGCCGCTAAAGGCAGTGCGATCAGAGATACTGACTGGCGAGTAGTGTACAAAGTGCCAGGGATCCTCCGGGTCGTGTATCGGTTCTGCCACAATCGACTCTCCAAGGCCGATTCTGAAGTTAGAACTGAGGGGGAACGTACTGCGATCTGTCAGCTTCTGATAGTTGTATATAATGCGGCCATCACTAAAAAGGGTCGCTGAGAAAGTTACCCTTGGCGAGTTGAAATCTGGGCAGGCGCAAAAGAAACAGTTCAGATAATTGCAGTGGATGGCGATCATCTCTCGGACGGCATTTGTCCAGACGACGTGCACAAATCTTTTGTTCTTGTCCTGAAAGATGTCGATGCCGCCATGATCCACGCCAACCGGGTCCTTCACAAAGAACCAGGGGTGGTACATTGGCGAGACATGGCTGGCTTGGAAGTGATCGCTCACGTAGCACGTATGGCAGCGCCACATGTGCATGTGTATGAAGCCGAGTGACATAACGGTAATGTGGCGGACCCGGTGTCCGTAGTAGGGAAAGTCGAATGGCAGCGACACGGAAGTTGCGAAGTAACGAAAGGCCGACGACAGGCGCTTTTGGACAAGGCTGGCATTGCGCAGATCAGGAAGGCGGAGCCCAGCAGTGGACATGCTCGCCGTGTAGTATGTGTGCCTCAGTACCGTGTCATTGGCAAAGCTCAGCACTGCGCCGTCCGTTGTGTTTGAGCAGCCAACCGCTCGGTAGTGCAAGTAGTTGCGGTCATGTCCCCCGTCGGTGCAAAATGGCCGAGTCTTCAGATCGTACCCGGGTGGCAACGGGCACCAGAAACATGCCAGCGACGATGAGCGTGCTTTGCACTCCGTTTCGTCCAACGCCGTAAAGCACACAGGCGTCGTTCGAGGCGTAAACGTGATGCTCTTCGGGCTAAAACTGCTATTGAACACTGTTGAAATGTTAGCGTCGGCATAACGCACATAGCGGTGATCCACATAATAAGCCGTATGATCGTGGATACTGGAGTCGCGCAGGCCAATCGTGCCACCATAGCTGGCACTGTGGAAATTGAATTTGTCGTAAGCAGACCTCGCACCCAGTTTGTCGTAGCGGAACTCAATGGCGCCGTCGTTATAGAGAGTTGCTGAGAATTGTGTTTCCGTGCCCTGGCGTGTACCACACGTTCTCACTCCACGGAAATCTGTAACGCACAGACCACTCAGGAGACGCACAGACCACACAAAGTGCACAAACGTCTCGTCCTCTGCCGTGTACTGCACTAGCTGGCTGTTGTTATTGGCCAGGCCGGCCCAGACGCCGATGAGCGGCGCAACGTAGCTTGTCTCCACCATGTGCACCAGTCGGCAGGCGTACGGTGGGCAGGCACTCGGGAGTGGGTGCGCAAAGATGAAGCCGTAGGTCGAAACAAACACATGCTCATGAAAGTGTCCAAAGAAGGAAAAGTTGAATGGCAGTTGCACATGTATCTGTGCCTCCGTTGCTGTGCTGTCCCCATGGAACAGGATGCTCCTAGTAGCATTCTGCAGGTCTGGTGGCATACTGTTATCCATGTAGTCTACAGCTGATGTATAGTAACGATCAGCCTCCTGGCTAGCTGTGGCTGACACCGACTGTCTGCGATATCTGCTGCCATGATCCCTACGCTGCCGCACATGGGGCACGTCGGGGCTGGGTAACCGCGGCGCGGCATCGACCCGCTGCTGGCCTTCAGCCCTGCCACCAGCTGGGGCCTGCTCGTCTTGACGATGGACCTCTTCTGCTTTTTTGCTCAACCAGCTTGGGTCAGTAAGGTCCAGAGTTTCGGTGTCATGCGCAAAGGCCAAAGCACTCGTCACTAAGACACACACTGCGGCCAGCCAACAGAGAGCTAGAGGAGCAGCAAAAATCCTACCCATGGCGTTCAAAACTTGAGCCAGAAATTGGCCTCGACGCCGGATTCCTGGCTGCTTTTTATACTATACAAGCAGGGCACAGCAAAGTCCGCCACTGTTGACAACACAACAATACCAACTCAGATAGATTGACGCGAACGCGTGCTGTCACCGCAAGCCACAAATGCCAGAGCTAGAGGGATAGTCGTTCCCCGTGAAGTAAAGTTTATGCAACGATGGGTACGTCCTGCTGTCACCAAGAAAATCACAACCACTACAAAAAAAGCACATGTATCGTTGTTGCCTTGCTAAATCGAAAAACATGATTGTATCGTTGTTGCACGCCATACATGTTGTACTGTAGATCTACACATTTACGGTATGTACGAGTACAACTGGGTTACAACAGTTCACAGCTGTCAAGCGGGATTCACAGAAGCGTTTTTTGCGATGCGACAGGCGCGAAACCGGGAAAGCCCCAAATCGCAGCCATGTCGCACCCCACCCGTACCCGTACCCACGCAACTGCCGCAACTGGCCCGCGGCGCCCATCGCTACCCCAAATATGCTAAAAAAATCGCATAATTATGCTTTTCGCATAATTATATGCCACTTGCTTCAAAATAATTCTTCGAAAATGCCGAAATCACACAAAAGCAGAAAAATATCCTCGAAATATGCTCGAAATATGCTCGAAATATGAACTGATATCAGTGATAATTATGCAAATTCTTTGCTCCTTGTAGCAAAATATGCTACATTTGGTACAATATGCTAGATTTGCTACTTTATGCGACCTTGAGTCGCGGACACTCTCTTCTCGAGTCAAATTTTCGCCCCGTGTCACGACGTTGACATGATGTTCAACGTCATGAGATTATTTGCAGTACACGTCATAGTTTGTGTTCTCTACCCCGGTTTGTTTCCGCGTTCCCACACCGAAGCGGGGCCGCGTGTTTATTATTTCTACTGACTCACTCGCCTCTTGGCGATTTCCTCCATGTTTTTTCCTCCTTTTTTGCTCTGCGCAAGCGCCTTGCGCTTTAGTCGTCGTCTTCTTTCAGTTCACAGCAAGAACAATAATTTTACCTCTTGTGCAGTGTCAGTCAAATTCAGTCAAATCAAGCTCTCCCGATCCCAAGAAACTGTCTGGCGTGTGCACAAAGTGGTGCCGAAACCCGGGATACCATTCCAATCTTGAGAAAGATAGACTCGACTCAAATAATTTGTAAGCAGCTTGCCCGATTTGGGTCGTCGAGCTAACATGCCGAAGAGAGCAGTGACGACCGGCACGCAGATCATGCGCCGGGCCAAGATCGCGCAGCTGCAAGGATCCATCGACGAACTCGTCAAAGAGGCCGAACTCCTTTTATCGAAGGAAGGAGGTCAAAGGGCCGACGAGTTGTCGCCAGAACACGTGGACTCGGATCCAAAAAAGCTAAGTACACTTGTGGATTGTATTGTTGAAGAATTGTACGCATATGATGAGGCGTGTGATGCATTGGCCAGTGTTTTGGACTCGGAGACTCTGGAGGGTTCAGATGAGGCTCTGCAAACGGAGATCTGCGATGTGGCTGCGTATTCGGTACGCATCAGAGGGTCAATTGTTGAATGCAAGCGATCTCCGCAGTACAGAGCCCAGACGAACCGTCCAGAAGCTGCTACTACTAGTACTAGCTCACCAAGTAGCACCAAGAGTACGGGCAGTGCGGGTATCAAACAAGAAACTAGTATGGTTGATTTGTCCAGCATCCAACAGTCAATAGGAGATCTTGTTCGTACGCAGTCTATTACACATAGTCAACACCAGCAAGTATTACAGTCGCAAGAGGATCTAATCAAACAACACCAACTAGTCGTACAACACATGCAAGCATCATCACCTCAACCACAACCAGCTCCCACAAGTTCAGTCAATTTGCCCAAATTTGAAATACCAACATTTTCTGGTGATTTCCTGAAATGGGCTGAGTTTCACGATATGTTTGTTGCGTCTATTGATGCGAATCAAGGGTTGTCGGGTGTCCAGAAACTGTCGTACCTAAGAGATCACGTAACGGGTTTGGCTCGGGATGCCATAGCTGGCTTGCCCATATCAGATACCAACTACACAACCGCGCTTGACATTCTCCGCAAACGTTTCGGGAATGATCAGCTTCGCGTCAATGCACACTACACGGCAATCATGGACTTACCGCCTGCGTCCAACGCTACTCCATCTTTGCGTAGGTTGCACGATGCGTTGGAGGTGCACTTGCGAAGCCTCACAGCGCTTGGTGAGAATGTTAATCAGGCGGTGTTTGTGTCAATGATTACGAACAAATTGCCACGCACCACGCTAGCGGCTTTGGAATTAAAAAAGGGGCCACAATCCTGGACCGTTTCGGACTTGCGCGCTGCAGTAGCCAACTTCATAATAGCGAATGAAGCAGCAGATCGCCTCAGCCAGCCACCGAAAAAATCGCACGAATCACCATCTGCCAGTGCGTCCGGTCAATCTCTTGTTGCCTCAGCTTCAGCTACTTCAAAAGCGAAGCCCAAGAGAGTGTGTGTTTTTTGCAGTTCGGAGGCACATTTCTCTGACGAATGCAATAAGTACACTACAGTAGAAGCGAGGAAGAGCGTAGCTAAACAAAGGTGTTTCAAGTGTTTGCGATCAGGCCACTCCGTGCACGATTGCTCTAGCAAACGGCGGTGTTTCTATTGCCACAATCCTGCACACCACAGCAGCTTGTGTCCAGATAAATTCACTGCCGCATCCACTCAGAGGCAAGCTTCCACTATGAGCCCGAATGCTCAGTCCTTCAAACCCAAGCCTGCCACGAGCACGGTCGCAAACGCCGATCACCAGATCATGATGCAAACTGCTGTGGCACCGTTTCTCTCCTCCAAGCTGAAGCCGATCAATGGCCGTATTCTCTTTGATACCGGCTCCACCAAGACATACATCACGCAAGCTTATCGAGATCAGCTCGATTTGCCCACAATCGGAAATGAAACACTCTCCTTGGCTACATTTGGGAACAACAAAAGAAAAAGTACCGTGTACGCCAAGGTGAGTTTGACCATGCAGTGTAAGGATGGGTCCACTCGTGCGATTCAGGCCAGTGTACTTCCGAACATAACCGCTCCAATTGCGCGATGTCCACTTGCTTCTTCTTTTCCTCTTCTACAGTCTCTGCCACTTGCAGAACCGCTCTCCAGCAGCGCAGAGCCCATGGTCGTAGACGTCTTGATTGGTCTCGATCACTATTATGATATTATCGGCAAGGACCGCACCGAACTAAGCGGTGGTCTGGTCTTGCTCGACTCCGTTCTTGGTTTTATCTGTACCGGCAGTCTGCCTGTGCCTGCCACCACAGAGGCGCAGTCATGTCTTGCTCATCAAACAGACACGGACCCTGAATTCGACCTCCGTAAGTTCTGGTCGACAGAGAGCTTGGGTACTTTTGACGATACGTCGTCGCAAGATCTTGTGGGCGAGCGCTTCGCCAACTCCATCTCCTTTGCCGAGGGTCGGTACGCGGTGAGTTGGCCCTGGAGGGACTCACATCCTCCTCTTCCGACAAACTACGGTCTGGCTTTCGGTCGCCTGAAGGCACAAGTGCGTCGCCTCGAAGCCCATCCGGAACTTCTTGACCAGTACGATACCGTGATTCAAGACCAGCTTGACAGGGGCATGATAGAAGATGTTCCTCGTGGTTTTACAACCAACCAGATTCACTACCTTCCACACCATTCAGTACTCAAACCTACTGCTACTACCACGAAGCTGAGGGTAGTGTATGATGCGTCCGCAAAATGTTCCGAAAAACTCGCCAGTCTCAACGACTGCTTGCACGCTGGCCCCAATCTTGTTCCAGACCTTTGCGGTATTCTTCTTCGTTTTCGTCTTTCTCCGGTAGCCATAAGTGGAGACGTAGAAAAGGCCTTTCTGCAGATTGGTCTGCACTCACATGATCGTGACGTGACCCGCTTCCTATGGCTGCACGATGCATCCAGCTCAGCTACTCCAGACAACATACGACAACTTCGTTTCTGTCGTGTTCCGTTTGGCGTTGTCAGCAGTCCATATCTCTTGGCTGCCACTATTCAGCATCATCTTAGCGCTGCTGATACAACAGATTCCGACCTAGTGTCTCGCAATATTTACGTTGACAACCTGTTCCTTGGTGCCAACTCTGGGACGGAGGCGATTGCTATCTATGATGCCACGAAGCGCCTCTTCAGTGTTGCGTCTATGAATGTTCGCGAGTGGTCTAGTAATTCTGCAGAGTTTCTTAGCAGCATTCCAGAACCAGACCGAGCCAAGGGTACTATCCACAAGTGCCTCGGTATGCTGTGGGATACAGAACATGATACTCTACATATTGCACCTGTCAGTGCCGTATCCAAGTCGGCCACAACGAAGCGGAGTATCCTTCGACATACTGCCCAATTCTTTGACCCCCTTGGTCTCCAGTCTCCTGTTCTTGTTGGTGCGAAGATTCTGCTTCAGGATCTTTGGAAGCTGAACGTCGGCTGGGACGACGACCTTCCACAAGACATCATTTGTAGATGGTGTGATATTGCGGCTCAACTTGAACTTGCTGCATCAACGAAATGTCCACGATTCATCAGTGCACCACGTGCCAGCGACGCTCGGTTTTCTCTCCACGTCTTCAGCGACGCATCTGGGCTGGCTTACGGTGCCGTTGCTTACCTTACTACTACGTTTGACGATCAACACACGTCGAACCTTCTAATCAGCAAGTCCCGTGTTGCACCTGTTGCTTCACCTACCATTCCACGTCTGGAATTAATGGCCGCGCTTCTCGGTGTTCGTCTGATCCAATTCGTCCGTCGGGAACTTCCGCTCACTTTCTCCTCTACCTTTCTATGGTCAGACTCCACCACAGTTCTCCATTGGCTGGCCTCTTCTGACAAACTACCTGTCTTCGTCAACAACCGTATTGATGCCATTCGTGCGGTTCCCGATGTTGCCTATCGCTATGTCCGCTCTGCCGACAATCCCGCCGACTTGCCTTCACGCGGTGTCTCTGTTCCTTCCCTTCAAGCCAGCTCGCTATGGTGGCACGGTCCACACTTCCTTGCCACTGCTGACCATCACGCCGAGCCAGCACTTGATCACCATGTCAACGTTGCCGCTGGGGAGGGTCCTTCAAGCACTTCGGAGATACCTGCACCTGTATCACACCCAACAGAGTCCACCGGTCCAGACACTGAGCTTGCACACGAAATGAAAAAAAAGCCTG